GGGGGGGGTGCCTGCACCCCTCTGCTCGGGGCAGCTTGGCGCACGGGCACGCAGCCGAGGGCGAGCGGATGATCCCCCCCACCACCACCGCACGCCACCCTCGGCCTCCTGCAAACAGCGCAGGGTGCAAACGCGTGGTGTGGCTTCCTGAAGGCCAGCAGGGAGAGGGCTGTCCCCGTGCCCCCCCTCCTTACCTGGCTCCTGTCCTTGATCAGTCTGGATTCCAGCTCCAAGGCCAGCTGCAGGAGCCAGTGTTGCACCTGGACAAAAAAAACCCAGCGGGAACGGACAGGCTGGGCCTCTGCTCACAGCACCGCCCTGCACCCCGGGGGATCGGACTGGAACGGGGACAGACTGTCACCAGGCCCCGTATCCGGGTACCCCTGGAGAGGATTCAGTGCTGGAGGCAAGGGATGGTAGATAGCCCACAAGTCCTGCAGTGTTGCTGCTAGACTTTGCCAAGTAACGTGGGTCCCCTGCCCTGGAGCTCCCTCCAGCTGGGTCCCCGGCCCTGGATCCCTCTTTGCGTCTCCCTACAGCTCTGCGAGAGCCTCACCTCAGCTAACAGCTCCCTCCCTCTTTGCTAGTTACCTTCTTTCTAGCACCCTTGGTGCCATGAATACCTGTTGAACAGCACAGGCCCCCAGTTTTGCTCATGGAAGTTACAAGGAGGTTGGACCTCTTTGGGCAGGAGTTCACCAAAGCAGTGCTGTCGAACGGGCACTTCCCTTATTTCTGGGGCCCAAACCACCTCCTCCCACTGAGCTCCTAGGCTGAGTGTCAGGGCACAGTGGCACAGAAAAGCAGCAGTTTCGCAAGGTAGTCTCAGCTTTCAGCGTTCTCGTCTTCTCCAGTGCAAAGGCCGAGCCTGGTGCTAGACGGAGGCTTCTCCTACCTCCTTCTGCGTGGCCAGGGCTGTCCTCCCAGGGAAGTTCTTGCTGCAGCCAATGGACTGGGGCAGGTACCGGTTTTTGACAGGCTCATCTTCAATCCCTCTGCACAAGTCATAGAGCCAGGACCTGAAAGCCACAGAGGAAGCACGAGGTGAAGGCAGCCACAGAGCAAGTCCGCCTTCTGCAGAGCCGGGCTTTCGGCTCCGTGCAAGCTGTGCCTCTGCCTCGCAGCCCCAGGGCGGCAGCGGCAGGGCCGCGCCGCGGCAGGTTTTTTCGGGCCGCAGCTGCCTGTCAGGGCAGCTCCTCCGCCTCTTCCCCTGAAGTGGCAACAGTTCACCAGTCTGCAGGGCACCCCAGCCGCTGCTCTCTGGGCCCAGAAGTGGCGTTTCAGGCTCCAGCCCAGCCTTGTAATTTTTCTCTGTAATGAGACTGTCGAGCCTGTCTGCTTCCCAGCCTGCAGGGAGCCTTTCCACAGCCTGGCCCCATCCCGAGATGCTGCAGAGGAAGGCAGAGGAGCTGGCTGGCAGGCAAAACATTATCCTGGGGAGCGTGCCGGGGAGCAGGCGAGACTGGAAACCCGTTTGTGGGCCTGCCAGACCAATGCTTCTCAGAGCCATCGCTGAAGTTTTACCTTCCAGCCTTTCTAATCGCAGCAGAACCACCCGTGAGCGAAAGGAAGTTTCAGTTCCCGCCAAGAGCCAAGTCGTGGTGAGTGGCTTATCGTTACCCAGTTTTGTCTCCAAAGTGAGTCTGGAGCTCTGTCTCACTGAACTGTGTCAGCTCTCCGATGTACTCTATTCCCAGGATCTCTGTGATGGCAGTGCCAAGCTTGCCTCCCAGGTTACGGCTACGGCAGAGAAAGAAAGAAAAAGAGGCAGAAACAGAAATGAAGAATCATGTGGAGACTATGCCAAGTCTTGCAGCAGCTGCCCCTAGATCAGGGCAGCCAGAAGCAGTCGGGCAGCAGCAGAGCAAGGGGAACACTTGGTACGTCACAGCTCGTAGCAGAAGAACGCACAGGAGCGCAAGTGGGAACTGCTCCTGGGCTCACCCCGTTTCAGTGCTTCTCCCTCAGCTCCACCTTCAAAATGTGATCCCGCACCACGCGCTGAAGAACGCCCCGCACGCTCCCCGCTTCCTCCTGCCCAGACAGGACCCTTCCCCACGCCCCCCGCCATCCCTAGCGAGACGCTGAAGGCAGAGAGCAGCGCTGCAGGTCTGGAGAGCAGGACCGGGGGGTCCCAGTTCCCCTGCAGCAGCGGTGCTGGGAACCCTTCCCAGGAGAAGGACTTGTGTGCAGCGGGGACGCTCCAAACCAGCACAGCTCTGTCACTCACGCTGGCGGACAGCCGTGGCGTCCTTGCCCACAGCTGCTCCTTAGCCCCACGCACCCCGGGAGCCACCCTGAAGGCAGCTGCACCCCGGGAAAGGCTGCCCACAGGATGCCAGCGGGCTCTGCCAGCGCGCTCCTTTCTCTGGCAGGGCTGCCGCCCCCCAGCACGCTCCTCCTGCGCTGTCCCTCACAGCTCTGAGGGGTCACTGCCAGAATTTCCTCTCCATTCCTTACAGGCACTGACGAGCGGTCACTGTGGAGCTGAAAGCCTTTGCTGGCTGCCATCAACTACCATCAAATTGCTTCTCTGTTGGAGGTGGCCGGGAACAGCTTCCCCCCCCCCCC